TTGACCTATAGCCCACATACTTCTGACAAGGATCAAATACGTGCTGGTTGCTACATCCTGAAAGGGATTCATGACTGCTTGTGTATCTCACTGATAGTTAACACCAAAATGAATGATAAGCAACAGAGAAATTTTATGAAAGTAGTTTCATGAGTAGAAATTCAAAGAAGATATTTATGATTTAATACTTGCTGCATATCCCCTCCCCCTAGAGTACTGAGCATATAACCACCAGCTTCATTCAGCAAAAGTGCAGCCCTTTCTGCCCATGACTCCCATCCCCATGCAACTTAAATAAACTTACTAAGTTGCACCATACATCTCAAGAATTATTTCTTGGCTGTTGCACTCGATAAAACTGCATCATGGCCAAGAGATGTTCTACATGCCAGAAACAGGGGCACCTGGCTGGCTCAGTTGGTAGAGCATGGGACTTTTAATCTCAGGGTTGGGAGTTCAAACCCCATGTTGAGCATGGAGCCTACTTAAATAATAATAATTATTACTACTATTATTATTGCCACAAACTGCCAGTTTTAAGTCAAAATGAGGAACAAAGTCTATAAACAAGAATAGTCAAATACCCTAGAATAAACACACAAAAAAATCTGTCAAGCCTTTATGAAGAAACTCATAGAGCTCTTACAGGAAGCTATAATAAAGAATAAATAGAAAGTCAACCCATGTTCTTGATAGGAATATTAAATATTGCAAATATATTAATTCTTTCCAATCTGTGAAATTTAAAGCATTTTGAGCTACAGTTATTGAATCACTGTGATATCAGCACAGAAAAGGACATGTATATCAACTCTAAAATCCAATAAACAATGTTGTGGAAGAATTTAGTTTATGGCAAAAGTGGCGTTTCAAGTAAGTGGCCTGAAACAACTGCCTGTACCTTTGGAAAAACATAAATTTTTACCTCACAAGAGACAAAGAAACAAATTTCAGGTAGATTAAAGACTTAACCATTAAAACAAACAAAAGTAACAGAAGAAAATTAAGGAAATATTTTCATATGGGAACAGGAAAGGAAGCCCTGTCTAACTAAGTTCCAACATCATAATAAAAAACATTATGTTTAACTAAGTAAGAAACAAAAAACAAAAATGTCTGCAAAAGAATAGGCACCAGAAAGAAAAAGGAAATGATAAATCTCAGAAGAAAATATTTGAAATATATGTGATGGTCAAAGAAAGCAACATGTTATGGATTTAAAAACAAAACAGGGGCGCCTGGGTGGTTCAGTCAGGTAAGTGTCTGACTTCGGCTCAGGTCATGATCTTGTGATTTGTGAATTCAAGTCCCACATTGGGCTCTGTGCTGACAGCTCAGAGCCTGGAGCGTGTTTCAGATTCTATGTCTCCCTCTCTCTCTGCACCTTCCCTGCTCACACTCTGTCTCTCTCAAAATAAATAAATAAATAATAAAAACAATTTTTAAAATATTCTTTAAAAAACAAAACAAAAAACAGATTTTGGAAAAAACAGTATGCATGTATCACTAATGTTAAATATAAAAATGCATCAAAACAGTCGAATATAAATTAGATTATTACAGTGAGTTTTTTATGGTTTGGTAAAAATAGAAAGACTTTTACTGCCATATCATTTGAATTTCTACAGTGATTACATACTACAAGAAAAAAATATATATTCTCATTTTGAAGAGCAAGAAGTAAAAGAGGAATAAATCCTTTAGAGGAGAATTTCATTACTAAATAATAATCCTGAATTAGTGAGTGCTTGATAGTCTCCAGCTTATGGAATATTTACAAACTCCTCAGTGACCTAAGAAATTGGATAATTTAAAAACTAGTGACTTTTCCATCTGAGAAGATAATCTGTAAAAAGCAATGGCAATAGGTTCACTAGTCAATGACAGTAGTCATAAAGTCTAAAAGCTTGTTTTAAAAGAAATGAACAATAGTGGGGGTGCGTGGGTGGCTCAGTCGATTAAGCATCCAACTTCTGCTCAGGTCATGAACTCGCGTTTCCTGAGTTCGAGCTCCGCTTCAGGCTCTGTGCTGACAGCTCAGAGCCTGGAGCCTGCTTTGGATTCTGTGTCTCCCTCTCTCTCTGCCCCTCCCCTACTCGTTTTCCCTCTCTCTCTCTCCCTCCCTCCCTCTCTCACTTCCCCTCCCCC